CAACGGCGAGTTTTTTCTCTCTAATATTTGAAATATATCAATACAATCAAGTATCTGCTGTAATCGTTGTATCTTTCATGTACTACCGAAGGTGTATCTACTATATCGTACATATATATAATACATGAACATATTTATTTGTATAACCTTGTTACAAAACAAATTACCGACTTTTCCCTTAAAGGTTTTTTTCACACTCCAGATCCCTATCTTATATAAACATCAGCATATTTTCCTTGATTGATCGTGGCTATGTAATTTTACATGCGTTTATTTAGACATCAAAAATGTAAAATACCATTATACTGTTGTTTCTAGATTTCTCCAAGAGAGAGAGAGAGAGTTTCGTGTTCTTGTGTGATAGAGGGAGCGTAAAATCTCTAACTTGTACACCTCACCATTTTTTTTGGGGGGGGGGGGGGGGGGGGGGGGGGTCTTTTGGGAACTTTTGTTGGTAGTTGTTAAACAAGAGAAATTTAAGTGTATATTTAATCCCCTTTGTTTCAAATATTGTCTATAAGCACTTGTGTGTGCGGCTATACTTATAGTTGCACTATGTATTTAAATATATGATGTGCCATTTGAGTATATAGGGCTTAAATATATATATTGGATTTAGAAAATTAATTTCAGATTCATGCCAAAATACAAATTTGCTTTTTTGTTTAAAAACTTATTATTAAAGTACAATAAAACAAATAATTCATGGCATTTCTGGTCAAATAACAGCCGATGGACCGTACGTCTATTCACCAAAAATCTAAATTTTATATGGACACCAAGTTTAATTCATATACTTTTTTTCAAGAAGATTGCTTGGGACATAAATTTCTCATTGGCCCTCAATATCATATATATATATATAGCTTCAATGTTGATTTAGGCCCGAGGAACCAGTTCACACGACTGATACCAATCTGTAACATGTTCGTTAAAATCTTCAAATATTTTGTCAAATTGATTGATCATGTTTATATTTACGTAGTTACATCAAAGTGTAAAAATACCGTTACAATTGATCACGTATTACGAGTATCATTATGTAGATTTTTATCTTCCCCAAGTTCAAATACGTGTGTGCAATATGCCTAAGTATACATCATGTTTTTCTTAATTTTGGTATTTATTGTATTTGAATAAGTTAAAATGTTTCTGTTTTGAAATAAAATCATAATAAAACTACCCATATATATTCAAGAAAAAATAAATTGAAAAAAATTATAATTTTGTTGGACTCTTTTTTGAAACTAGGGTCATTCCTTGTTGTCATCTGTATTTTCTGTAGTTCTAATTTCGGACATGAAAACCAATTAACACTATAACCATTAATTAAATCTATTCTGTTATGTGCTAATGGAATGTGAACGTTTTGACGGGTTTGCAATTGTTATTCCCTACTTCAAGAAAAGTCGGTGCAACTAAAAAGTTCCATTAACAGAGATTAAAACACATTAATCTACCTTTGATATTTCTCTGCGAGGAGAAAAGTAGTTCCATTGTTTCATATAATGCCTTTAACGTTCGTATTTAAATATACAGTAACATACAATTGAAAACTTCAAGATAATATAAGTACAGGGATTATCATACTTTTAACGTTTACGATTCCATTCGGAAATTATATAAAATAAATTGTTATGATTTTACTTATCAAAGGTGAAAATCGTGCGTAGAATAGGGTTGAAATCTGGACGAAACAAATAGAACGTCTTCTCATTTCTCTATGTCAACATCGTTCGTGTTCACAGATAAAAGGGAAAGTAGATTTTATCTGTCTCATATCGCGCAAATTTGTCTCTAAAGATAATATAATTTGTTTTTAATAGGCAGGGTTCTGAAAAGCACCTTTCCGATAAATTCCGGAATTCGGTGGTTGTATCCGTTTACGGTGGAATGTAAACCACAAAAGTTTCGCAGTCGATGAAGAAAAAGTGATCAAGATGAGATTCAGTTCGTTTTATGTCGCCTTCTTGTCTCTATTGAACGTTATCAATTTAGAAGCAGGCCACGAGTCAAAATCTTTTTATGTGGATACGAAAACAATAATAAAGAATGCTCAAACGACTAAGTTTTTTCGTGTGAAGGCGGACTCTTTATCTATACCGTCTTTCAGACTGATAATCGTCATAAATATAAAATTTTCATATAGGTGTAAAACGTTTTACCACCTTTCAACTTAAATAATTTTAAGTCAATTGTATTAAAAATCGGTAAATAATTGCTGTTTTCCTTGTCAGATTTGGTCATCTCCATGTAATAAGTCTTCATTTTACTTCTTAACACCTGATGGTCGCCGTTAATTCGGACAAAGTCAAGATAAAAGTTTTATTGTTGTTAGTTTATGGTATAATTTGTATTTTATATTTTCTTGTTTGTATTTTAATCAATTCGGGAAAATACAGATAATTAAAACTAGAACTACTGGATTTTGAACTCCGTACCGACAAATTGAAAAAAAATATCAAGCCGACAAATTGAAAAAAATATCTAGACATTTTAGTTACCTATTTTCATTTAATTAATTTCATACGTTTATCAGACACAAAAAAACAACCATTATATCTGTAATTGAAGTATCTTAATAAATGATTTACTGTGACAGGATAAATGGATAGATACATTTTCTCAACAAAAAAAAACAAACTAATGCACGGTGGCAGTTCCTGGAGTTTTTGAAGAAAACAATTTTTCTATTTTTTTTTACATTAATTTTTATTTCTTTTATAAAATCATGTTTTGTCTGTATCTTAAATTCAGTTTCTTCTATGAGATAAGGGTTTATTTCTTTATTTACTTAATTCGGAGCAAAGCATTTCCTGCAACTGAAGTTTTGCATGTTTAGGGTTTGTAAAAACATTGTTGAGAAAACTTGAATTTCTGTTCTCGGAGGTGATCTCATGACAAAAATAAGGTTCTGTATAAAGTGAGGATATTATATAAGAATTATTTTTGTGCTAATATTGAGCTTAAGATTAATATATAGCTGAAATTTTCAGAAAAACAACATTTATTGCAGCCGTAACCTTTTCTGACGTGTGAAAATATCAAAAATCAATATTTGATATTTGTTTGACACTGTGATTAGGATCCGATAATTCTGACATCCACGAAGTCAGACGTGTCATCCGTGTATTGCATTATGTCAATACACCTATCAACCAATTTAATTATCTTGCACGTATGTAAGCGATAATTAAAGATAAAAATTTAATCATTTGGAGACCAATTTCACATTTTCATAGCCCAGAGTGCCGAGTGTCAATTTCATTATTACACGGGATAGTATTTGTACACAGTATTTTCCTGCTTACACAAGCCTGGCTGTATGTAATTTAACATGTATGAGTTTACTACAAGGATTTATGCTAGCTACCATTTTTTTTTCAATTTTTTTCTTAACTGCGATTTATACCAAAGTTTATGTTGAAAATTAACATCGGTAGCATGTATTACTTTGTTTGATTTTGAGATAAAACTGTTTCTTCAAAAGGTGTTATCCTAATTAATGGATAATTATTTATGTAAACAACGTTAATCCTTATCCTGTAAACAAACGGCTTAATCCAAACAACCTAATAATTTCATAATTTTATTAGGACAGAGTATAATTCGTGGTAGATCATTAAAACAAGTTTATCTCCCGATTTTAACGGTTTTTGTAACAATATTATTAAAATTCCTAATCCATATCAAAAATCTATCGCAATCCGACAATAGCACTTACATCCAGTCTTTAGTCTATGTACAGGTTGTGATACGAATTATGAACTGTCGTCAGTGTAGAAGAAAAATAAGAGTACTAATTGAAGAGGTATTAAAAAGACAAGAGACGTCATAAATCGCGTGAAAAGGGGGGGACAGAACAAATCAAAACTACAGGGAAGGGACGATCCAAACCATATATTATCTCTCTCTCTCTCTCTCTCTCTCTCTCTCTCTCTCTCTCTCTCATCAAGGAATTGTATATTTAAATATACAATTCCTTGCTCTCATGGATTTATGTATACCAAAGAAAGAAAAAAAAACACTATCCACACTTTTAATTACAGCTATGTATATATTTTTAGGAATCCAAAATCATTTTATTTACATGCATCGCCAATACTATGAAAAAAACAATTTGATCCATGAAGGAAAAAAAATATGTATACTTTCATCTCTGCTTTCATCGTTTACCATTCATTCAATAACACATATAATACAATATATAACAAGTATTATTATAAGTCTGTAATTCAATTGAAAAAAAAAAACAGTGTGTTATTAAAAATACAATTCATATTAAATAAAAAAATCAGCTTTAATATATTCTCCTTTTGATTATTATTTTATATACTGTTTTTTAACATTTGCAATAATTTGTCAGGAACAACTCAGAAAAAAAGATAATTGTAAAATAAACACCTGTATATTTATTTAACAATTTGCGGTGGGCAATATATGACAACTGCATCTCAATTAGAGCGAGATTTGGCTGTCGATGGATTTTTTCATGTCATGATTGACTTACGAGACAATCTATGTTTATTCATATTCTTTTTCCTTTATCTTGTTTTTGTTTAGTACTATTACTCGCGCATCAATGAATTACTCTTAGCACGCCCCTAGTGGATAAATACGCCAGTCATGTGTGGTGGGTCTAATTCTTACGTTGGCCAATCACAGGAAAGGATCGAACAAGCTGAGAATTAAGTTGTAGTTGTATTTTCTGATATCATTTAATACGCGATTTCTCTTGTGAGAAATAGGACATCATCTTAAGATTTTAATTTTGTTTTTCTTCATTTGTTTGTTTTAAACAAAATAGTCAAAATTCCACCTTCAAAGATAGACGTGATGACTGCGGATTCGCAACAGCCGACGTTACATCCCAACAGTAAGTTAATGTTTTATACATACACATTTTTGCAAAATTAACAAATTATCTTTTAATTAATTAGTTAATGAGTTCATTAATTAAAAAAAAAATAAACTTGTAAAACATATCTGTTAATTTTCAGAGAGAAGACGGGTTTCCATGTGTGTTGGTTGTGGTTCGCAGATACATGACCAGTTTATTTTGCGTGTGGCACCGGACTTGGAGTGGCATGCATCTTGTCTAAAATGTGTAGACTGTAGTCAGTTTTTAGATGAAAGCTGTACTTGTTTTGTAAGAGATGGCAAAACATACTGTAGGAGTGATTACGCTCGGTAAGTAAAAGAAACATGAATAGATTTAATATATAATAAATGTTATCTCAACAATGTATATATATATACCTAGTTGTCTTTGAACGTTTTCAACAACCATGTATACCTCACATTATAACTTATTTGCTGTTGTTCTTTATTATGATTCTGTCACTGCCATAATCTGGTTTCCCTATTCTAAAAAGGTTTTTTAGAGGTGTATGCTACTGTTAAATGGGTGTTCTGTATGATATAATGACTTTTGATTCGTAAGGAGATAAATAAGAAAGTTACTCATACAATAAACTACATTTATATTATAGTTAAAGAAGTCTTCCCAATGAAGATATGAAATAATTTTTAAACTGTGTTTTTCTTTTCAAATTTCAGATTATTTGGTGCGAAATGTTCAAAGTGTCAAATGACATTCACAAGAAACGACTTTGTGATGAGGGCGCGGGACAATATGTACCATATAGACTGTTTTCGTTGTGTAGCTTGCAGTAGACAACTTATTCCTGGAGATGAATTCGCTCTTAAAGAAGAAGAACTTTTTTGTAAGGCAGATCATGATGTCGTGGAGCGAGCATCTACAAAAGAAAATGGAGCGGATGATATAAACATTAGAAACAATAAAAACACAACTGAAAATTTAAATAATGATAACAATAATAACAAAAAGGAAAATGGATTACATCAAAATTCAGGTAGGCATTTTAAAAACATCTGTTTAGTGTATATTCATATTGCTTTTAATTGCAGGAAGCTGATAACTAACCTTGATTGTTAAAATTATGCTAGCTTGCCGGTTTATCGTTTTAACTCATGGGGATATTTTTGTTTTCAAATGAAAAATCTACATATTCAATAATGCTAATAATTGCTTGAAATCAATGCCCCAGTTCTGCGACCTATCTCGTATTGTAATTTTGTGCAAAAAAAAAAAAAACATGAATGAAAAATATGCATCCAATTAAAGTGGAGTAAATTATTGAGGCAAAGACATTTATTTTGCAATTGAAAACAGGAAATACTAAACTTCTTCACAAAAAACAGTGAGGGCATTAATTATCTGAAATTTTTGGAGGTTCTGTTAACATGTTGAAATAATGATTATAATTTACTTATCTGATAAATCTGCGTGTTTTGATATTGGTAGGTTGGATTGTTTATACCATGTAATTATAAACAAGACCGAGAGAATTAGAAAACAGGATAAGACAAAACCTGGAAATCTTTAGAGTTCTTTCGTAACTATCATTTACAGTGCAGATTTGCAGACAACCCTTCTCGTGATGAGCACGTTTTTATAAACAGTCGTCTACTTCCGTTTACTTTTTTTGTTTGTATTTTCCCTTTGCATGCACGTTTTCAGTTTCGTTGTTCGAATATATTATTAAACATTCACAATGTTCGTGTTATCTCGAATAACGTTACTTCATTTTATGGTGAGGACCGAACAATTTGATATTCTTGTAGGGTGGGGGTAGGAAAGTTGCAGATGAATTACCTCAACATGTAAATTGCAATTAGGAAATAAATCACTGAAATGTAGCTTGGTGATATATATAATGAGCCACACATATTTGGAAGTATTCCTTAAGTTTAAAATAAATATTAAAATTATATTCATACTAAATGTAAACGATCTTCTTTTTTTTTTTACTACAGTTGAAAATGATAGTCATACTCCTTTTCCTTAATCCCCTCCATTTCATTAGCTCCTAGATTTAAGAATATGATATTAATCCTTTATTTTAATAGAGAATTAAACCAATTCCTTATTAAAAATTTCATATATGAAATTCGTGTATAGTTGTGTTGACCTAACTGTTTATGTTTATTTTTCGAATTACAAGTCCCTTCTCACGATATTTATCAATCATAGTTGTTTATCTAATCATTTTCAAATTTTGACATGACGCTATCTTGTAAAGTCTTGCCACAAAATAATTTTTTACATATTATAGTTGTACTGAAAAAAAATATGCATGTATGATTTTTTTAAGGAAACACTATTAGATAAAATTTAATTTTTTGATACAAATTATGACTGACGACTTCGCAGTCTGATGATAATTATACGACATTTAGTACATGTCGTTTGACAGGTGCTAAACATTACTGTCCAAATAAATCGCTCTAACATCTTGTAAACGAGAATTAGAACCTTGTAGAGGCCGTACCGACTTTGTTCCATTCCAGTCGGCATTTTACTAATGACTCTTTATCATTAGCATTATCTAATATAATAATAATCATACCATGTTATAATAATTATCTTAACTTTTAAACTAGCAGTAATGTATACCGCCATCCTTTGGTTGAAGATAAAACGCCTTTTGTAAATTTTATTCTTTGCATCGCACAATTATTTAGGCATGTGTAATTAAAATTCAATCTTTCAGTTCAATATTTGCACATCAAATGTAAATAGAAGAAATCATGTTAGCTTTTTAAATACCACCAGTACGGAAAGATTGATTTAATGAAAAAGAACACACCACACTCTTTTTTTTTCACTCTTGTTTTTTTAAAGATTATTTTAATTGAAAATATTAATTATGAAAACTTTATTCTGATAAACATCTAAGACTGTATGAGATCATTATGCAGACAGATTAAATGAATTTTTTGGGGTTATAATTGTAGCAAGATTAATTTCTTTTCTCATCAAACATAATTATGTGACACGAGATATGGCCTTTATAGGACTGGAAATAATTATTTGTAGAAAAAGGTTATCATACAATTACTGTTTCCTAGTAAATTAGATTTTCTAAACAAAAAAGAAGGATATTTTCATGGCCATTCGTTTTACAAAATGAGTTTATAATTTTGTCGTAAATTTTGTATTAATTTGAACGATTGATGCAACCTCATCTCAAGAATCAATTAACATCCATAATGGCCTCTCATCGGAATAAAATTGATATTAGAACTGATTTTTATCAAATACTTCCTATAACAATTGCTTAGAATTGGTAATGACTATTAGTTTTTATCAATTGGAAATAAATATCAATATAATTATTCAATTTCTTGGCTGTCTAATCAGAAAGACAATTATAGCCTACAAATCAAGATTGCAATTCGAGTGCACCAGAATTCATTTTTCATGGTTGAAAATTCTGTTTCAGTTCTAAACGGATTAATTTGTGGTTATGATGAGAGTTTGTAAATTATTAAATACGATGTTTAATTGTGTGATAAGCAAACACGAGACTCTATTCACATGAGAATACTGAGAATCCCTTGTTATAATTCATTGTAAAGTCAGCGACTAAAGTGATAAGTTTATGTTTAATAATAAATGAAGGAACGGAGAAGAGAAACTTGAAGAGAGAATAGAAGCGATGTTTTGATGGGCTTAGGCAGATTATTGGAGATTGTTCGGTTTTCTGTATTTTAGATTATCAGTAAGATCTCATTCGGAAATATTTTTCTTAACGAAAAAAAAAACATAGAACATTTAAAATGTAGAAAATAGAAAATAAAAAAAGTCAGTCTTGATTCATAAGTTCAATTCTAATTGTCTCTCATCAAATGAGTTTATTTTTTTTGATCGATATGGTTGTGAACTTTTCATTTAATTCGACCTTTGGATTGCTATTTTGCATAATTTTAAAGGGACTAAATTATAGTTGTTTTTCCTGTCTCCCATACATTATCTATCTTAGATTTGCATGCCTAACCTAATACATTTTATGAACATTTTTGGTAAAGCACTGTTTAAGTCCAGAACATCTCCTTATATGGTCTAAGTAAAATATTCATTAAAATAATTTATACTTTTCTACCTACCCCATTTTTTTCCACCAGGAGGCAGGAAACAAGTATATACTTTTTTGGCCTAAGACTTTTCATTAAATTGTGTATGCAGTTTTCTCACGTATTAGTATATTATACATAATTTTTCTCGACTTTAAAATGTTGAGCTTGAAGAGTTATTAAAACGATCTACAAACATTTAGCGGAGAAGATATGAATAATTTTTTATGATATTTGTTCTGACGATCCAGATTTTTTATTGATCAACGTCCTATATAATTTTAATAATAGTTTTTTGCCCATATCTTGTGAAATTATCTGTAATTTTAGTTCATTGCATGTTAATTAATATCTATTTGCAGGTAGCAGAGATCATAATTCTCATTCAAATTCGAAAAATAGTGAATCAAGACGCAAGACAGACCAAAAGCCGACACGTGTACGAACGGTCTTGAATGAAAAACAGCTGCATACACTTCGCACGTGCTACAATGCAAACCCACGCCCTGACGCATTAATGAAAGAACAACTAGTAGAAATGACAAATTTAAGCCCTAGAGTTATTAGAGTATGGTTCCAGAATAAGAGATGTAAAGATAAGAAAAGAAGTATTCTCATGAAACAAATGCAACAACAACAGCAAGACAAGGTACATATTAGCATTCATTTTAATGGGTACCAAATTTTAAAAATGTTTGTTATGAGTTAAACTTAACCATTGTACTAGCCTTCGCATTTTTGTTTATAAAAAGCTCAATTTTGCGGAATATTTTAAACCCCTCAAATCCATTTTTATTTTCCATACACATTTCTGCACAAAATACGAAAGATTTAAGATACCACACAATTTTTTAATTTGGTAACCTTTTTTAATCTGTACACCCTTCAATAAAAATAAATAAAAAATGATAATAATAACTAAATTGTATATATTATACTTATTACATTTTCTGTAATTCCAACTCTATTTTTTGGAATATCTATTGACTTGAAATGCTGCAGATAAAACCGTTTCACAACTGCGTTTCAATGAAAAAAGAATTGATTTTTATTCATCATCAAATTAGTCTAAACATTTAATTTCCGCTGAACACAGAGATGTGTTTTTCCTAATAATAATCACCTTTGCAAAAAAAAAAGACGATTTAAAAATGAAATTATTGGAAATGTATAAATATTTCATCCTTCGGGTACTGTAAAATGAAATCAAATATCAATGTAAAAATTTTATTAAGGCCGATCTCATTCACACAAATTGATAAGCCGTAAGTTTTATTCATTTTTTATTGTCTGCGTTTTGGACAAATAAAAAAATAAAATTGATTATGAAGAAACTCAGACTAAACCTGTCGGCATTCATGGTATAATTGATATAATTTGCTTCTTTCGTGTCTGATTTTCTGTTGCTGCCGTTCGTTAGTATATTTTTATTTAGGAAGATGAATGTAAAAATAGAAAGAAGAAATGCATTTAAATTATTATTTTCTTATGTAAACTATAATTGACGTTCGGAAATTTGTATGTTATATTCTTGTTTTGGATTGAAATGTAAAGTCATCTTCAACGGTGTTTAACTCTGATTCAATGGACAAATTGATAGAATAAGAAATTAACCGTTATATTGCTTGCGGCAAAAATGGTTATGTCGAACCGAAAGATAGAATGATAAAAGCAACACCTTTTATACATTTCGCTCCTCAGTTATTTAGAGAAAATACCCGAAGGGTGTCGAAAATTTGTGCAGTCAATTTGTACGTCAAGACTGAACTATATCTGTATAAACACACATGTTCGACACTGATTTATTTAATCTTTAGTTCTCAATACAATTTTCAAATGCATACTTTTACGTAAAGGGAGAAGGGGTAGGAATTGGGCTCAAATCGTGAAGTTATATAATGTTCTTCTGAGATTAAATCATCGATTGTCGTCAAAATCACTGCTTTAAAAGAACTCCAGTCAGCGGCAGCAGGTTTGGTCAATGATTTAACATTTATGAAGATGATAAAATGCTTAAATTCATCCTGAAGTAGAATTTCTAAACGATTTATCGACAAATGAATTGACGTTGGACTTAAACTGAAAAGCACATTGTCTGTATTATTTTCAAGCTTGCCTTGGTCTGGTAAAGATTAGACAATCATTGTGGATGGTCTATTACAGAATAACAATGCTGTATTTATGAACAAACTCGGAACAATTGTCGATGTATTGATGTTTCTATACAATTTTCGCGCACTTGCACGTATGCGAGTTATTAGAATTTAATAACAACCTTTCGACATGGCGTTTTCATCGTCTGCTTTCATATGACAGCTAATTTCGTGTAGATTTTCTCTGATTATTAACGTTTGTAGCTATTTAATTTCCTCAGTTTTAAACAGCTTTTCACAAGTTGAAGACCCCCTTGTTCCGTTCCCTGCGGAAATTAAGAAAATTCTCAATTAGATTAGGACTTTTCTCCTTCATAATTACGAGCAAATTGCAGTCCATATTACCATTTTATTACAAATAATTTCACTTGTCTTATCACGATATTTATGTCACGAAAACTAGTGATACAAACAGCTTCTTTGGTCAAATCAGTGTCACAGCCAAAACATTGTTAACTATTGCGTGACATGAAAAGTTCAGGAAATCAAGGGAGCATGGGAACTAGACGGAAATTGTAATTGAAGTGACCTAATACCTTTGTACTTTGGTTAAGTTTGAGGTTAATGAAGCCAAACAAGCCATTTATATCCTTATATGTACAATTTTGCATTGGCAATATGAAAACAAGTCTGTTTCTGGGTTGTATATTTTATAAATGTATGTGTTAGAGTAAAAATACTAGTTGTTGATTAAAGATGAAATATAAAATGGATAATCTAAAACATAGAAAGAAAGAAACGCTAATATGGACGCTTTATTGTGGTCTTTTTTCATTAATTCCAATGATAATGTCGCTTTGGGATATAACACTAAACAATTTTTTTTCAATCTTTAGCAAACCAAGGACTTTATGTCAAAATAGTCATTTTAAGATCAAAAACGAAATCAGCAGTTTAATGTAGACATTGGTAGTTCTGTGTAAAAAAAGCGGATATCATCTCTTTATGGTCTTTACATAGTTAGATCCATAAGCAGCTTAGTATTTAAAAATCTGTCATGGTCGACATCATCTAAGCACCGAGACATGGATTGTGAACAAAAAGGGAGTTCTATTATTTACCGTCCTAAACAAACAAAATGACGAGATATTTACCCAGAGGATTAGAGAGTTATGTCGAGTGTGCAGTTTACACAACCTCAGATATATCTTCTGCTTTTCATTAGTAAAACAAATTTAAATCTTGTAAATCGAAAAGTACACAAATTCCATTTCGTCTCTTCAGACTGGTAGTTATAAAAACGCATTTTAATTGAGAAAAAGGAATAACTCTATGCCCTGATGCTATAATTGTTGGCTTGCACTTATATCACTTGTATATATGATACATGCAAACATATTTTCTTTCAAAAGTATTGTCTTATATACAATTTGATATACGTATTTACCTGTTTAACCATTTTAGAATTTGCATTTGCAAATACCGCAGTTATCAATTACGGTTGTTATCGTTCTGAATGGTCTCCTGACGTTTTTAATTTTCAATTAAATACTTTATGCAGTACAATATATATATATATTTTTTTCAATTTAGACTTGTTTATATTTTTTCGTTTGGGCTTGTATTATATTTGCCTTCGGGTTTATATGATCCGTTCATCCTATTTCGACTCTTCAAAATTCAAGAGTCAATCCCAAATTGAGGTAAATTATATGGCCTTCCAAATACCGTTTCGATTCCTAACATCACTGAGACATTAATTGTCGAAATCCGGATATGGTGTACAAACTTTTGCACCTCATGTTTGCGTTATACCATCTTTTCCGCAAGTTTTTTGTTTTCTATTTGGTATTAGATTAAAATTAAGATCCATTTTGTTACATCTGTGATCCCTTTATTTGGCAATCGCCATGGCAGTCAGCAGGGTTTAAGAACATCCGTTGTTCGACCTGCTAGTCAAATGCGTTTTGTTAAAATATACTTTTTCACTTTTTGGTCTTTTGGAAAATGTTGTTTGTGCTGTATTTAGAGCCCTCTACCAAGAAATTTGTTTTGCATGCACACGTATGAAAATTGCGGTTTTTATCCAACGCAATCATAGGTTTGAACGTTGTTTTCAATTTAGACTTGTTTATATATATATATATATATATATATTTCAGAATGGAGGACGATTACATGGTCCATTGCAAGGAGTTCCGATGGTTGCTTCAAGTCCTGTTCGACATGAGAGTCCCATGCAAGTGAATCCAGTTGAAGTGCAAAGCTATCAACCTCCGTGGCAAGCACTCAGTGATTTTGCAATGAAAAATGACATGGAACAACCCCCGTTTCAACAACTGGTGAGCTCCTTTGTCTATGACGTCGCGCATGACGATGATGATGACGACGATCATGTCGTCTGCTATGATCAGTGTTGACCACGTGATTTATAATGACAACCCAACTAGGTAACTTGGCTGTTGTTCAGCTTCTGGGTTGCACTGTGTGGTCAAGTAAATAAAGTGGAATTTCAAACGCTGTATCTTTTGAAATATAATTTGGCACAACTTGATCGCATAGTCAAGCATCCAGACACTGCTTTGCCAACTGCACGACCATTGCGCATGATTTGTTGTCATTATTATCATAAAGTATAGTGTTAATTTTGATTGCTATTGCATAAATCTTGCTGGTATAGGCCCTTGCATTTTCTTTTTAATTACTCCCTTCATTACCAACGATTTTAAAAATTTGAAAGAGAAGAGATATTGACTCTTGAAAATTTGAATAATTGGATTAGAATTACATGTTTGTAAAAACGTAGAAGCAGTGCAAAGACACTACAATTTTACGTTGCTCAAATTTCTAGTTATGTAGGCAATATTTTAAGCTTGTTTGTTTTGTTTTGCAATTTTCAGTTATTAATGACTGCTTTACATGTTGCTTTGTATAATCATGTTTAATTAACTCATTTTAAAAATTTAAAAAATCGTTTCTTACAATTTAATCTGCATGCTTAATATAAAGTTCAGAGTATTTCAATCACTGTCTTTGAAAGTGATAATCACGATTTGGAAACCATTATTTAACTAAAGCACTATAATAGCATCTTTTCCTCTTCCAGATGAATTCATTTGACAATATGGATTCTGACAGTACCTCTTCGTATCACAACGATAATGCTGTTTACAATGACAGTTACGTGTGGAGCCAGCCAGATCATGATAACGGACAATTTTCAGACTCGGACTACCATGAATCGGAAATGTCAAGTCCATTGAGTCAGTAATACTTGACGATGGAACTTTAGTGCGCGGAGGAACGATTCTCAATTCAGGGACAGTAATTACACAATCACACAATGGACTTGTGACTTTTCCGGAAGTAGCTGTGTTATTTCCGGTCTTTATAAAAATGATGATTTCTGTGCAGTAGACAATTTTGTTGTTGTGATTTTGTGGTCAAGTTTATTTAAGAAAACAAAAAATGTAAAAATAGACTACGTTTTGTTCAGTTGGTATAATCATGCTTGGTTGTCTTGTGATTTTTTTACGTTTAGAGAAACACTGACGTCTCTTAATATATTCAGAAAAAAAACTCTTTAAAATTTTAAAGGAAAGAGCGTTGTAAGCATTTATTTCTTGAAAATTGACTACCATGTAGTTGTTCACTTGTTACCTGCTGGCAAACATTTTATGTTACCTTGGTTGACTCACTTCTCGTTTCTTGAAAAAGCTCTACAAGCATACACCAACTTAATGCATTTGATTTCCAGTTTTGTTTGTTTCTCAGCTGAGCTGAGAGATTTTCACGTGTATACATTCTTAATATATGTTGAGTCCACAGAAAATCAAACGTTGTTGATCTTTTATTTGCTCATTTTTTTGTGACTTTACACAAACAAGTTTAGTTATCGTATTGGATGGCAAATGTATGTTTTATGAAATTTTAATTTATTATTACTATTTATTAATAAATCTATCAAAATATCTTGTACTTCAGTTTTCCTATTAATTTATCAACTTGTCGTTAGATAAGACTAAATGTCTATATACAGAGATGTATCCTTAATACTGTATGACTGACTAGCACGAGATATACATATTAATTATAATACATTTTTCTGTAGGCTGCATTGCATTCATGACAAACAGAATGCCCTTACCTTTTACTTTAAATTCCTTTGTACCCTCAATTACAATATTAACTGATTGGTTTTTTTTCTGATATATAAACGAATGACAAAGATATTACCTCTGATATCTTGCCTATTTTAGCCCTCTTTATACACCAACTGCTTGTATGCATGGGGGTCTGGATTGGAGTGTATTTTTTCTGGTCGATTTTCTCTATTCCTTTCCCCATTATTCTCTATCCTTTATATCTTAACACCCCATACTTGTTTAGCTATTTTTTGTTCATTTTTATATATTCCTTTTCTGTGATTCTGTGTTCTGTAAACACCATCCATATATAGCGTATAGAAATTATTGAAACGTTCAAGGTGAAAAATGTTTGATTTAGCATGCAGATGGATACGACAAGACTCCATACCTAAAGTATATAACATGGAAAGATAGCTATACAAACACTGCGTTCTATCAATTTTACTCTGTTTGATCATCTTGAAAGATATACAATATGTTATTGGCTTTGCAATACATGAAAGAAAAATGTCTGAATATGATTCGTTTTGTTTTCATTCCCCAAACACTTGTAAACAATTTGACTTCCTGGAGTGATGTCATCTTAAAAACGGATCGATTGACAACTGTAAAAGTTTTTCGTGACAGACAAAGGTTGTAGTATACCATGTTACTGTTCTGACTTGCTTGTTCGCTTGACACCAAAACCAGGGGAAAATTATGTTCAATATCATAAAAAGTCAATAATGAAAGTACATATAATTTGACGGAAAATGTCAATCTTACCACAATTAAAAAAACATTACAAACCTAGTTTGTTAAACTCAGCTATAGTTTCATGAGGAACTTCGTCAGTTTATAGTTGTCGTATAACATTATATAAATAACACATAGCTGAGAGGGTGATAGAGCAGATTGTTACCCCGAGAAAACATTGTCAACTGAGGCGAAGCCAAGGTTGACAATGTCTTTTCGAGGGGTAACAATCTGCTCAATCACCCTCTCAGATATGTGTTATTTAATTTATTATACTGAATGTTCTGTTTTTACTGTCTATTGAGTTTCAAATTAAAAGAAATACACTATGACGTCTTGTACATAACAACCATCCGTATTCAATAAAGCGCACATTTGATCAAGCGTCTCCGTGTAGGGTAATAGAGTAAATTGTCTCCCTTGTATCAAACCAATCAAAGTCTGGCATTTTTGACATGAAGTATAATAATACAACTTGTTTTCGTTTTTTTGAGAATTTGCAGTATGTTGTCCAAGAAAGTCTTTTGTTATTATTTTTTTCGTTTAATTCCTGCCTGGTTGACGTATACCCAACATCTACTTTTATTCATGTGCAACTTTTCAAATTAAACATCTTATTATTGTTTAAAAGTATGAACGTTGGCTGATGAGAAGTACTATCTGAAATTTTAGAGTGCGTGCAGATAACAAGTCAAGTAAAACTATCGACAAAAACTATGCAGAAAATTCGAGTAATAAGTCATCAAAGATGTATTTGGTATACCAGACGCACCTTTCGTTTACATAAGACTCATCAGTGGCGTTCGGAGGCCAAATCTATTACAAAATGGAAGAGCATTGAAAACCAAAGAAAAAATGTGCTAAATCTGGCCTGGGCAGTTTATGCCTGGGGTTTAAAAAACGTAGTGTTTCAAGTAAACTATACAAATTAACGGAAATTGAATAAAACATGTACGAAGCATCAACTAGTCGAATAATTCAAAAGAAGAGTTACCACAGTTTAAACAATGCCAATGTACGGTACGATATTCTCAGTATGCGATAGAGACATTAACCGATATATTAATATTTGTATGGCTATTTATTAGTCGTTCTGTGGTTATAAGCGGTTGTTCTGGTATATAATATCATCATTAATAAAACATATGTTATTGTTTTGTCCCAATTATCCGTCGTTTCTCCCTTCGCTGTCTTTGGATGGTTGTACGAATAGCACATTATACCAAATAACAACTTTTGTTGCATATTTAACTCTTTTATTATCACCAATTATAGAGAGAAAAAATAAACAAGCACATATAGGTAAGAAAATATCAGACTAACATATACAAACAACATAAATGTTCGTATATCTTACAGTGCATGCTACTAAATGTATCGAAAAAATATACACCGGCCTTGTTGATATTAGCGCAGGTTAAAATACAATGATATTTTAACATGTGTTGGTACAGCTATGTTAGGGGACGACAATTTGATATTATGGGTGGTGCAGAAGGATTTCGGAGATGGATGATATCATGGCCTAGTAAGAACTGAACAAAAATTCGGAAACAAAATAAGCGAAACTGGCAAAAGGTGGAAATGAATAGTCCATTAGAACCCTCTCTCCCACAGATTATCAAATAGATGTTCCCCTATCCTCGTATTGGTCTAAATCGACAACCACTTTAGCTGTATACAATAGAAAAATTATTGCATGCTTTATTACACAAGGCTCTCGTCCCATAAACCTCGTGCCATTATACAATAGTAAGCATCATCATATATATAAGTAATGTTAAAAGGTCGTGGAGATCAAGATCATACATTTAAGAAAGCAAGAAATATTTCACTTTTTGCCCTTATATAAATTCAAGAGATTAACGTTTTTAGATGAGAAAATTATTTCTGAAAACAACAAGTTTAAAATGTAAAACTTTAAAGATAAACCATAAATCTGTAGTAAAATTCCTTTTTGCTGTTATGCTTTTTGAAACCTACATAACAGCCATGGTTCCTAATATATATGTACGTGCATTTAAATAAACCACTTATGTAACCAATTAGAACAAACGTATAGAAGCGACACATTTATTAGATTGGAATTTAAATTGTCAAAAATGGACAGGATCATCAATAAGGTACACTCCGGCTTTTGATAAATATTACTTTTCATTAAATATCTATTTTCTTTAAATATTGACACGAAACGATCAAAATAAACAACTCTCGCAAATAAAAGTTTGTATACCAAGTTTACATAAAATCCGTCAACTTATTTAACAGTTAACTGTGTCAAGCTAAATAAATTGTATCGGAACAAATGGTTTCATAATGTAAATATGGATGGTGAATCCGAGTCGTGTGTTCTGGGGAACAAGATCAAAGATTTAGCTGCCAGATCGTGGATAAACCAATATTTTGGTTATCACGGTAACAAATAATCATCACAAAACTGAAAGAACAGACAAACAATGAAAATATTTTGATTAATTGCTGACAGTAAGGATTAGAAATGACACGAAAAATTATCGATTTTGTAAATATTTGAAGAAAACATTGTATCAAGAATTAAATTTTCCATTGATTTCAACAAAAACTGTTATTGCCAAGTTGCATTAGCGCGTGTCGTAAAACGATACATAAAAGGCTTTATCTCCATAAAATTTTACTGTAAAAACGTAATATTTTCTCTTTGAGTTCATTACATGTTCATAGTGCGGAGGCATTTTCCGTTTTGATTGAGACATTAATCTGTAAAACGACAATATATCAATTTAAAATTGTATCCCACATCTCTCAGTGGTACTAATTATGAAGACGACAAGGAACAGTTTATTTCGTAAAAAAAATGATTCAGATGCCGCAATTGTCCGTCATAATTTCTACCATTACCTGAAACATTTTCAATCGGAACTAATTGGTTTTTTAGTTAGTCAATATACGTCTTTAGTTTATAGTGTTGAGCCGAAGCAAACTTTTGACACATTAAAGTATTGAATTTCACACTAGGACGAAAATCCCAATTTCCTCCTTATTGTCTGTACAGTTTCCGAACCATCGACTTTGAGTTACCTGCCAACAGATTTTTGTTTATCAGTTCGTTGTTCTTTAAATTCTTTTATCTAAGTATTGATTTTAAGTGCCATTATTTCTACATGAGTTGGTTTTTGATTTTCCTTTAGCGGTTTTCAAAGGAGGAATTTACGCTTAACCCAACCACAACCTTGGCTTGTTGTCACAAAGACTTACAAATATTAACTGTATATTGTATAGTCCCTCCGGTTCTGTTTTCTAAATATTGTCTGGCTGAATAACTAATCGGTATCAAAACAAATCCTTCGAAACAATGGGGGATAAATCTTTGTAAAAATACAGGTGTCTTAGCATAAATGGTTAACATTTATAATTCAGTACCTTTAATCAACAAAGCTTTATCTGTTAAGAAAACTTGTGTCAGAGCTATGAAAATCATTATAAAGATTTGCTTTCATATTTAGTTGTTAATTCTTTTGTTAACTCTCGATATAACAAGACCAAAATATTTCCTATTGTGTGTACGTTAAAAGACTTCTTTTTTCTAATTTCGCATGTATTGAAAGTATACCTGCATAAAGTGCATATGTACTTAATGATATACTAGTACATGTAATGTATTCTGAGTATATTTATAATGATGTCATGTGTTCTCTCTTTAAAAAGCATTCGTCAAACATTTACTTGTTTATCCTTTATACTTATACTTGTTTTCATTGAATGGGATTTTGGTCTGAAAAAAAAGGAAGACTGCGTGCATCATTGTTTGGGAGTTATTTAGTATTTTGCTTTACCGCTTTTCTTAATATGTGCTGTTCAATAAAGTATGCAGACATATATCTGTTTACTATAGAAAAAGACTTGATATATCACACATATTACCATAATGGTTTATATATACCCTTCTGGAGCACCGAAGTTGAACGCAACAAATTTTTAGCTTGATAAGTGTTACTCAAAAATCTAATTTTCTATTTTCTCAATGCTGTTTTATTGTATGTTTTTAGTTTTGATTGTGATTTTGTTTTTGTTTTGTTTTGGGATTTTCTTTTTTGGGAGATGGGGTGCTTTTTTGAACTTCAAATATAATCCAAGACTTCTAATTGTTCGTTTGTTCTTTTTTTTTATTTATTTGATTGCCGATGAAGTATGGTATATAAACACAAACGTGGTAGACATGTTTATTGATCCATCCCTGGTCCAATTTCTAATTTTTTCGATTTTTGTTTTATTTTGGTTTTTGATGACATAAAGTATGCGACTATATCTATATACCCTAGATGTTTCACGTACATGTACCAAAGTGATTTTCTTATTGAGATTTTGTTCACGGAGAAATTGTTAAATTATTTAATGCTAAGATAAGTAAAGAATATACTAGTTACAACATCTTCATTACAAATTTCATAGATCTGTTTGATCATTTAAATGACCCTTTTCAGAACGGAATTAGCGTATCGTAAAATACTCAAAATTGTATGTCACATTTAACTCTCTATACGGTAACCGCTTACACAGTCGTATATACTTGTATACCCTACGTTAATCTACGAGTTGTCAGATAGTGTCAATCGATACAGGAGGCTGACACTTTGTAGATAGTCAAGTTGTACAGTTTACACCCGAAACAACATCTCACAACAAAGCCACTATTTATAATTGAATTACAGCTGGCACGTTCTTTAATTCCAATTAGAACACGTTACATTGTACATATGTGTATCATATATAGATAATAATTATCCAATTAAATACAAATTTTCAGGTAAAAGCATATTTGTGACTGACATTCCTAATTATCTTACCAAACACGTGTAATGCATTTACACATTTGCTTTTGGATTCGTTGCTTTAGGCTTGGTTCAAGTATACTGGATATATATTTCATTATTGATTTGTTGAGTTTATAATTTTTCCTGTAAATCATTTTTTTCACGAGGAAAATGAAAAAGAAGATGCATAAAACAAATTTTATCATCTTACTACTGGACTTCTTGAAAGAAAGAGTTGTTAAATACATTTTAATCAAATAAAGTATTCCTGTTTGGTTGTTGAAAAGACTAAATCAAAGTAAAAATAACTGTTATAGCAATTAAATGCGCAACCGTGAAAGAAAACAATAGGACTTGTACTTTTATTAAGTTCATGATATCTCTAATTGGTAGCCCCTTATTCTGAGCCATTGGATATGTAAAAATAGTATGTATCAGGCTTTCTCTCAAAACGTTGGCCAAGTAACGTCTTGAACAATTGTAAGCAAGCTTTGTATTACTTCTCTACATGGGCAGTGTGGAGAATGCATCGAAAAAGGATGGCATTGACAACAGAAGACGGTCGTGCAGATTCATATGGTCAGAACTTTATTTCAATAAAAGATTCCACAAACATATATCGCTTAAGGTGTTATGAATGTGTTTTCTACGTAATCACCACGAGCTGAGTCTTGCAAGAAAACAAAATCTTTCAATACACAAATATCGCCACGATTCTTATACTTACGGTCTCCCATTTCATAATATTTACCAACATAATATCCATTATATAACAATCTTGTACGTTTACATTCAGTTATTTATCTTAAAATAAACGTTTGTTAACGTTTGTTCTATATCTGTAACATGATGGTCAGTTTTGATTCTGACCAGGTGAGATAAGACTGACCACTGCCCAAGGAGATAATGACCACTAATGTGTAAACATAACAAATCTTGTAGGTAAAGTTGTTAGTAATCTGTCAGTCTGTCTGTTATCATTAGAGATGATATGTATCTCAATGATAAGGAGTCTATGTCTTCTATGATAACAGATCATTTAGCAAAGACGTACTGAAGTAACGAGGTGCAGAGTGGAAATTGACAGTAAAATGCCATTGTGCATGTTTGGAGAATGCAATTCTCGAAGAACAGGTTATGGTTTGTATTAACCCTTGAATCTTCTCCCCTTGTTTATGTCCAGATCTGTGAAAAAAAGTTGAAAGATAAAATATTTAAGACTTGCTTTTTATTATATATATTTTTTATTTATTTTTTCGTTAAGCTTTATTTTTTGTTTAAGTGAATAAAGAAGCCGATAAAGTTCCGACACGGTGAAACAATAGAGCAGCAAGCACGCATGGAACCATACAGCTTATTCTGTTTTATGTAGTTTGTACATTTTATTAATGGATTATAGGTTTGCACTTATATGCTGCACTTTCATCGGAAAGTTTTACCAAAATAAAACAACTTTAAAAATTCATAAATTAAAAAAATCAATGATTAAATAATTTAAGAAAATTGCTACAGTTGTAAAACACCTTGATATACAGACTCGATTTATTTAAAATATTGATAATTATAGCGATTCATAAGAATAGCCATATTTCAAAACTAACTGTTTATACTCGGCGAGATTGTGTTTTATTTATTTACAATAAATAAATAATCAACTTACGTTGATAATTCTTCCATTCACAAAAAGCAACTATAATTATTGTGCCGAAAATAAGGCATGAAGATTTTCACGGAAAATTATACTATCAATGTCTAAAAAGGACAGTGGTCACCTTTATTTTTAATCTTGGATTTAGTAAGAACGAGTTGAGGTGGATAAGTTTAATTATTAAATCTAGAAATATTCTATTTGTTTAAAGAAGATGTTTCGTCTAATATCTGCAGCCATAACTAAAATATTCTTCATGTAGTATTTCATTAGGCCTTTACGAAAGATAAGTCAAAAACTGTGATTCAGAACAATACCAATCACACTTTCTCCAAAACGAACAGAAATCATAGTAATTCTTTGCATGTTCACATTGTATATGTTTGCAAGTTTTATTGCTGAAAAAGCAAGTGTAACACGACTTTAATAGGTTAAATTACATCGAGATTTATTAAAAGAAATTTTATAGATAGAAACAATTTTATGATGGTCTAGTTAACAGAGTAGAAAAATCAAAAAGTCAACAGAGAAAAGCTGACCTGCAATGAGCGAAGCTTCTCCTAGACTCTCCTCCTCCTCCAGGGAGTTTTGAGCATTCTTTAAAAATTCCAAAAGTTACATACACTATGCATTTAATGTGCAAAATAAAAAAAAGCAAGCTTATCTATAAAAAAAGGTATATACAATACATGCATATATATATATTATACTATATATTTAAAAAATCAACTACAAAAAAGCATTTAGATCATGCATTGTATAAATAAAAAGTCAAATTTTCAGTAGTCACCACTTCCGTGTTGACATGAATTATCATTGATATGGTCATAGTTATAAATTAGCTGTTTACAAAACTTTTAATTTTTCGAAAATACTAAAGGTTGTCTACCCTATACGGATAGATTACCATGGCTGTATTTGGCAAACCTGTCCGGGATTTTGGTCCTCAATGGTCTTCAGCTCCGTTTCGTTCTTTGTTTGGTAATTTTAACTTTTTTATGCGAGCGTCACTGATGAGTCTTTTGTAGACGAAATGTGTGTCTGCCGTAAAAAATGTTTTATCACTGAAGCAATTGCCTGGAAACCATTTGAAAGAATGATCTCTGGTTTTGCAAGTTATCAGTAGAAAAGAATTGTATTCAAAATATGAAAGCTGTTGAAAAGTTGAACAAAAAAATAAATCGAAAAAAAAAACATTCAGAAGGTCAGACATATATTTGATGGACTGACGGACATATTTGTAACTATAGCCCACTTATAAAAAATATCTCGCAACGATTAATTTATAGACGAAATATAAACTGATCAATCAATACCTATTTGTACGGCATAGTCACATTGTCCATTTACTCAAACTCGGGAAATTATTTCAATATCACAACTGAATACAAGAAGGAAGTCCATCATAAATACCTTGTTAAGGTGAAATGACCAATGAGTACATCTCTAATGACCAGTGATATTTGTACATAATAACTGAGGGAGGTATGTCATGTATGTGTCAAGTCACCTGTCATAACTCTACACGTCTTTTAATTTATTGAGGCATACAACCAAAAAAATATACTTCAACAAAACACACAGGGAGAAATACTAGGGAGATGTCATTAAGAACAAAACAAAACATCTTGGAGGACGTCATTTTTATGTTTGAATGTTTATGAGTAAAGGATATACCAAAATATGGGAAAAGTATAGGCAAACTGATCTTGAAGGGTATCTTTTTCTATGGGTAGATTTGTCTTTTGAAAAGCTAGAGTAATGCGAGGAAACTGAATATATTACTAATGGATAATTTGTCAGATTGGAGGGAAGTTTTCTCTTGTCAAATACCTGTACTAAGACAGGAATATAATAGTCGTTGTAAGGTTGTGTAGGTAGTTATTGCGACCAACTTGTCAGTGGTCGGGCCAGTTAAAGACACTTTTGATTTCGTATGGGACTGAGACAGTAGAAATTAACTGAACGAGTACTCATTCGATCAAAAGAAAGCATATCATAAAAAATCTCATCCAGTTGTCATAATTCAGAAATATTTGACATTATCTTAATCATAATTATTTTGTACTGGTCTTTTATCTTTTCCAATACATATAATTTGTACTGCTGCAAAGGACACATTCTTATAAACAGTGAATAACTATAGAATGTATAAAATTTCTGACGTCATACAGATATGACAGGAGGAGAATAATATATCAATTATTATACTTGATCATATTTTCAATCATTGTGACATTATTTTTATAAAACTATTTTAAAGAATATATATGTCAAAATATTTACCATAACAATGTCATATCAAACCATTTAAACAGACTTTAATTGTTTTATATGTATATGTAAAACTGTAAACTTACTACATATACTCCGGTCTAAACCCCACCAGGTTTATATCACATGAACAGCTCAAATATCTTCTATTTCTTATACATATAAAGTATACAGTGACTAGAAGCAAATCCATGACAATTTTAGAATTAAACTTTACAACTGCCAATTAATTGTGAGGTTGTGAGACAGTATATTTTTTGATAATTTATGCATTTCAGGTAATATTACTCGACATTTTGTCTTTACGTTCACATTTGAATCTTATTAATTTAGCATAACAAATAATAATATCGTTGACGTCAAGACGTAAGTGGAACCAAACTGATTCGAGCATTATCGTATCCCTTAAGTCCTTTATCTGTAGCTGGAATATTAAACATTTCTCTGTTATGTAATAGACAAGATATCAGCATATTTCTCTCGGGTATATGTTAGAGCTTTAAGTTCAATTTCCCTAATCAAAGGTCAGCAGAGGGTATGATACTTTCTAACCGATACATTTGTAGGAAAAGCTATCATTTATATTTGAAGATGTTTAACATGAAGTTTCTCATTTCCACAAAAACTCAGATTCCCATCATCTAGACTGATAAGGCTACAGCTGGAACAAACTGGTTAAGTATACTAAACATATTTTTGTATATCATTAAATGCTTCAGATGGTATTTTGTATCAAATAATTGGATTGCAATCTTTGTAAGTTTGTTGTCCGCTTCTGCTTATGTTTTTTTCCTTTTCCAGACCTAATCCTTCAAAAGCCCTGTCACATGAGTTCAAAAGAAAACTCTCACCAACCAATTAACAAGAATCCTAAACCCCTATTCCTTTTATTTCCTTTTCAATTAAGCAGCAGTAGTAATCAGTAACTGCGTGGAACCGATATTTTTCAAAACAGTGTTATAATGTTTATTGTTGAAATGTTGAAAACAACACAAAGAAAGAAAACCTCTGTTAGAAGCCACCAAAATACTATTTTATTCATTTATTATTCTTTCCAGTGTGTCTTAAACAAATGCTATAGAACAAAATAATGATTTATCATTTCTTTTGATTGCATGAATTTTCTTATAACCTTAGTAATGTCAAGTAAACTCTAGTTGCATTGGCACATTCATGCAGGAACATCACAAAAACCAGTAATGTTTCATGGAAGATGAATGGCAATGGGAATATGTGATAGAACTAAATTCATCCATTTATTTCATATATACAACCAATTCGTGATGGTAGTTGTAGAACCAGTAGTATAAAGGGGATGCATATTTACTAAAACCTTATTTCTTCGTGCTTGCTTGAGTTTCTTGTTTCTTTTTGTTTGGTAACATTCAAAATTGACTTAAGTGGATATTCCACTCTGTAAAAAACTCATCAAAGATACCAGGTTTATAATTGTGTACGCCAGACGTGCGAAAAGCCCAGTAGTCAGCACTTCAGTGTTGATATGAATTACCATTGATATAGACATAATTATAAATTAACTGTTTCCAAAAAAATTTAGTTTTTTTCAAAATACTAAGGATTTTCTATCCAAGGAATAGATTGCCTTAGCTTTATATGGCGAAACCTTTCGGAATTTGTGGTACTCAATGCTCTTTAACTTTGTAGTTTATTTGGCCTTTTTCATTTTATGATTCTAACGTCACTGGTGATTCTTTTGTAGATTAAACGCGCGTTTATTTCTTCTATAGATGACTAACCAGTCACGCTCGAATAAAAAAAGGAAAAAGGAAAAATAAAGAACGAAGATGAAGAGGACTGAGGACCCAACATTCTGAAAGGTTTTGCCATATACAGGTAATGTTATCTATTCCTTGGGTAGAAAGTCCTTAGTTTTTCGAACAACTCAACGATTGGTAAACAGTTTATTTTCAATTGTTTCCTTTGTGTGTCTAATTTAATTAAGTTTGAGTTGGCTAATTTACTGATTTCTGTTCACTAATGGAATTAATTTAAAAACTTACCTTTAATCTTTGTAATTTGTATATGTCTTCACTGGGAATCGAACCCTTCCTTGAAATCTGTTATGAATGACTGACATCAACACTCGGCTACCAATGGGTTACAACTTAGATGTCTATTTTATATATATATAAATGAACATCGGACACACAGGGGTTGTACCTTTATATATACACAATGGGCAGTCATATAGTATAAGTTGGTAGCCGGGAGGTTAGCATGCTTAAAATCAACGAGTTAAAAGATAGGGATTTGTCGGTTTAGGTTCGAATCCCACTATTATCTCTGTTGTCCCAATTCTGTTTTTTTCTAATTTTGCATGTTATAGTGGATATTTTTGTAATAATTAGCGAGTTTACCGTTTATTTTTTGGATTATTATTGGCTATTTCACATGTATGAAACAAAAATGATTACATTCTATTTGTCCATTTTTGTTGTATAAATATAGTATGATTTCTTCTGTTTTACTACATAATTTTACAAATGTTTGTTCGCAAATTCCCATGCGAGAAAATCGTGATGTGCCTAGAGTGCTAGAAGTTTCGGTAATATACTTATTATATATACTTTATATATGCTCTTTGGTCGGGTTGTTGTCTCTTTGACACATTCACCATTTCCATTCTCAGTTTTATTAGAAATAAATTCGAATATGTCTTATTTTGTAAAAACAGATAATATTCAGATGCCTGATAATATAAAGATCTTAAAGGTATAAGGGTTATATTTGTATTTTGTTAACCAATTAATTGTGATCTGAGATTTATCAATGCATCGTTTGACACGATAACATGGTTATTTAAACTCACTTACAATACCTTCTAATTAAGAAAAACGCTTTAATTTTGAAAAGAAATGAACACAAAAGTTTAAGTTATAGATACAATGGATAAGCGTAGATTCATGAAAAAAAAACTTTTTCAAGAATCCACGCTTATCCATTGTATCTATATAACTTAATTTATAAATATTACTATATCAATGATATTTCATAACAACACAGAAGTGATGACTACTGGACTGGTGATACCCTCGAAAAGTAAACTCCACCAGCAGTGGCATCGACCTAGTGGTTGTGTAAATATATTTTTTTCAGTACTGACTGGGAACATATTAAAAGGATTCATAACTCTGTAAAGCGCATCATATTTATATTCCCATATCTTGTAAGTAGAATATGCATATACCCGTCATTTACTTCTTTATTTAAATTGTTAAAAACCATAACGCTGTATACTGACAATATTCCTTAAACTTCTATTGTGTTGTCTATAACTGCTATACACATGATCTTTGATTGATCTTCTGGTTTCCTTTTTTTTATTGCATACCTCTATTTATCCATCGTCCCAATGATATTCGACGAAATCATGACATCAAGTGTTTATGCTAATATGTTTTGAATATACCGGTAAGTAATTTTCCTAAGTCATTATAGAATATATCCGTCGCTTGTGTGTTGTCAGTAACTTATAAGGTTAATATCGTCGCCTCTAGTGAGACATGTCATTATCTCGAAGATGGATCTACTGAAGTTGTATTTTGATTCGAATATTTTTCCTCACTTATACTAAGCAGCTGTAGTGTCTATGCTATTTCTATTTAAATTCGATAACACTTAACCAACTCCACAAACTACTTTATTTGTTAATTCGACCATCTTTCTTGCTATCTTGTTGTTTGATCTTTTTTGGTTGCTACTGATGTTTTGACTCATTGGAAGATCTTAAATAAATGAACCCCAGTTTCTTTGTGGGATCAATTCTCAGTACAGAGTGATACAATACAAAACTGTATGACAAATTTGAAGACTTCTATTTCTGAATAGTGGATTTACCTTTTCCTTACAGTTGTAGTAGACCTACGTCTATATATAGCCTGGTATCTTTATTGAGTTGCTTCACGTTCTGTGTTATTCAAAAAACTTGTGTCAAATAAAATGACAGTTATATATTAAAACGGATTGAAATTGGTGCAACAGAAACTACACAGACAAGGTTAAATACAAACTAGACTCTTATGATCACTGAAGATGTTTTAGTGATGGCTAGAAAATACATGAATTAACACCATTACAAACTCAATCCCAATTTTATATTCTTGTACGTGTCTACAATAAAACAAATCTATTCTATTGTTTAGAAATTTACCTGTGATAATATAAACGTCACAAAAATACGTCACTTTTTGTGGCGTTGATACATTCGTGTGACGCGCAGTTTTTACTTCGTTTGTGGTGTACTGGTGTACTGTCGTAAATTCCTGGGAGGTGTCCGTTGTTATTCTGTGGTTACATGTTGTAATGTACTATTATATTATTTATTTATTTATTTTTCTGTCCTGAGTGTTCTTTCGTTTATTTGTACTGTATTCCTGTCACGAAATGTTGTCATTTTAGCGGTATTTTTAACATTGCCATATAAGCGGGAGGTTTGGATAGCCATAAAACAAGGTTCAACCCACCATTGTTTCTTAAAATGTCCTGTACCAAGTCAGGAATATGACAGTTGTTATCAAATAGTCCGTTTCTGTGTATGTTGGCGTTTGTTTCTGTTACAGTTCAGTGTTTGTGTTGTTCCGTTGTTTTCCTCTTATTTTTGATGTGTTTCCCTCGGTTTTAGTTTGTAACCCGGATTTGTTTTCGCTTAATCAATTTATGACTATTGAACAGCGGTATACTACTGTTACCTTTTTTTTTGGTAGTAAACATGCATTTCATAGTAAATATCTCCAATATTACTGGAGATATAGACATATTTCCCACATGTGGCATGGTCTTACACTGATTGGCTTAATAACAGGAAAATAAAAATTACTGTTTTGAACTGCATGTGATCCCGACTGGTGTCGAATGCGGAGCAATATACTATAACCTAACTTAATTAGCGAATATTTTTTTCACGTATGACTATTTAAAATTCTAGAAAGATTATTTTCTTAATTATCTTTCTTATTGATGTACTCATATAAAAGAAAATCCATGTTGGACATTTTCCCAACGATTTTGTGTTTCGAGAACTAATCTTATACTCCGATTACTAAATAAATTTTTATAATCAAAAGGCCAGTAGTTTGATTTATTGTGTGTTGATATTTGTCCTCTTCTGGATTGTTTCTGTCTTGTAATGTTCTGTGGATTGGTGCATTTCTTCTTCTAAAACAAAAGCTTCCCTATACTCTTCTTATTTCTACATGTAATAATTCATATTTAGTTTGAAAGTTTGGTACGCAAAAAGTTCGTGTTGACGCTTACCCTGTCGACTCATCTGGTCTTGCTTTTTTGGAGTTTCTCTCGGTTTTTGTTTGTTACCTTGATTTGCATCTTCTTAATCGATTTATGAGATTTGACCATCGGTAAACTACTGTTGCTTTAATTCCAAACGAATAAAAAAATATTAAACTATGATATACTAGTAAAACTCAGGTGAAAATAAGACAAAAACACACATATAGAGAAAACTGCATAAATTGAAATGAAGACAGAAACAAAAGGCAGAAGATATAACTGGGACAACGAAAAATCGCTGGTCGAAGAAAAACCGAAATACCATGGTAAAAAGACAAATAATAGTTTACAAAACACTGCACAGAAAATAAAGACCGAGCAACTCAAACCCAACTAAAACCCCTGTGTAATCTCAGGTGCTACAGAAGGCTTAGTAGAAACTACTCCACTATAGTGACACCGGTCGTATTGAACATGGCATGTATACATTCGTAGATGTCACAATCGAGTAAAAGAAGACAGGATTATAGCTACGACAATTGGAATAATAACATTAACAATACCAATTGTACGACATATACTGTCTCTTCAATGATGCTGCTCAAGGTCTAAATATTTGGACATACAATTTCTAATAAAAAAAAACCATGAGGAGCCGGTAAAATAAAAAGGACCTAAAGTATATAATGTTATACCGGTAATTGGAATTTTCAATTAAACAATATCTGTAATTGCTAGGCTGGTGATACCATCAGGCACTAACAATCCACCAGCAGAGGTATCGACGTAAAGATAGTAATAACTTCAAAGGTGCCACTTTAATTGCACCAGATGCACTGAACATATCCATGATCAATTGTGATACAGATATTCCGTAACCGTCTAACGAAACATAATGTCGTCCGTAAAACATGAAGTTAAAGGATAATGACTTCATTAGAAGCTCCTGTATATAAGTAAGCCTTATATGTATAAAGAAACAAGTCGATAAGAATGGGAGTACAGTTGGTTCCCATAGGAATACCGATAGTCTTGAGGGAAAAAAACCAAGACCCTCAATCGTTACAGATAAGTTGTCAATAAAACAACAAACATCTTGATGATGTAAGAATCAGACTGTTTGTTCAAAGTATGATAATTGCATTCCTAAAACAATGTATCTTATCTATATTAGCCATTCTTTTTCATGAAACAAAGTTATACAACTTATCTCAATATGTCTTTATGTTTTCAATGATAAATTCTACTGTTAAGGTCATAGAAGTCAAATGTTGTTTTACTATTTACTAGGAAAGAGACTTAGATTGCATGTTCTCTAGCAGATCGTTGGAAATTTACAGTATCCACGTCTGATTTATAACACCACTAGAGTATGTAGTTTCAAAGTAACTCTGAAGCTCGGTTTTGATTGCTGATAAAATAGATGTTTATATTTTAGAAAGAATCACGTCAAAACGACACAAACATGATCCACTTACATAGACTCAATACACTGAGTGATAACATTTAAAGAAAATTCTAAAGATATACCGGTATGTCTTATTTTCTTTAAGGAAAATCGTCCAAAACTTGAACACGTCTTTCATTATCGGATCATTTGACTAATT